GATTTTAATGTTTAGTTTTTATTCTTTGTCTCTATTGATATAATACGATTTTATGTGGTTTTGAGAAAGCTTTAATGTTTTTATTTTTGAATTAAAATATAAACTTGAGGATATCATAAAAATTTGTAAAAAAATAAATCGATAATAGTATCAAATTAACTATTTAATAGTTCTTATTTTTTGGTGTAACTTCTTTAATTCAATTTTTATTATAATTTAATTTAGATTTAATAACAAAGTAATTTATTTTTGGTTTATAATATTTTATTTATAAAGATAATAATCAAACATTCTGTTAGAACTCAATGATTATCTTAATTATATTTTAGATTTCATGTATTTAAAATGGATGTTTATTTTGTATTTGATTATGTTTATCTACAGTTAATTACATAAATTTAAAAACGAGACTTTAGTAAGTTGTACTTACGCAAAATTACTTGTAATCTTAAATTTTAAGTAATACGTATCAATAAACAGTACTTCGTGCATAAAAATGGTCTTTAATAATTTTTGTCAAATGTTTTATAATATAGTATAGATAACCAATATTCCTAACCAAATTTACTTTTTAGTCATTTTTTGAATGAAATTCCTATTTTAGCCAGAGTTTACGTAAGTGCCTCACGTATTTGCATAAGACCTATTTTCAACGCAAGTGTGGATCCTTATGCAAATATATGTTAATCCTTTTTTAATATGAAAATCGAGTTTACACAAATACATAAGACATTAGCATAAACTCTGCTAAAACGATAATTCAATTACAAAAATGGTTAATGAGTGAATTTGGTTAAATTCCCAAAAATAAGACTATCTACTACAAGAACATCACATCTTACACAAAATACCAAATATGATGCCAACTCAGTCCAATGGGCCCCTCTGCAAATAAGACTGTTCTTTTTACTCAAATTAAACAATATATATCGCATGATATAGTGGTTAAGACAATTACTAATGATGTCCGGTCCAAACTCCTTAATCTGACCATAAAGCCCACCCCGAATGTTGTCTGGACTCGGCTTAACTGGAACCTTCCCTAGTGGTCAGTTTCTCTCTCCCCCCCCCCTTTTTCTTCCTTTATTTCCCCTCGGGGAGCCTTGGTTCTTTTTTGGTGGTTGTGGTTCCCCCCCCCCTCCCAACTCGAGTGCTTAAATTTGTCGCTTTTAGCGTTTAGTGTTTTTATCTTGATAGGTGGGGCCTCCCCCCTCTATATCAAAAAAATTAAACAAAATATATCTAAACTTACATTTTTCAATAAGATTTGGTGTTACTCATTAAAAAAAATTATTGTTTGTACCAAATTTTGTGAAGTTGGTGTAAAAAATTGATGTTACCTATTAAAAACGCCCTTAAGATAGGTGATTTACCAATTGACAGGAGTTTTTTATATACCCACAGACTTGGTAATCATGACCAAAAACAAGTATAGAGTTAGTCCAAATATCGTCTTTCAAGTAATAAAATGGTATGAGTACCGAGTATCGTCCACATGGATCAGAGCAAAAGTTCAATAAAAGTAATATGAAGGAAATGATTTCAGATGACGATTTTGAAGACTTTGATTGATGTTGAGTTATCACTTGATGGAATTAACAAATAATAAAAGAAAGTCAGGTGTAAGACTTAGATTGAGAAGTAAACACAAATTCCAGTAGGCTAATGCTGTCAAAATGTCACAACATGCAATTAGTAACAACTATTTTCATCATTTATTTTGAGAGTATTCTTCTCGGACTTCACCATCGCACTGACATTATAGCTTTCAACCAATATCTCTATATGGTATCCGGACAAGTGAAAGTAACAAATGGTGTCTTCAAAATATATAGATAGACAAATATTTTTGTTGAAAATCACTTTTTCGAGCGAATTCCCACAACATTCGAGTTGACGTGTTCTGAGTGGCTCATTTATGAGTTCATTCCACTTTCACACTTCAAAATGATCAATCTTTCAAGAATTAAACAATTTAGAAAATATAGATAACAAATCTCCTTGTTAACAACTCTCCCAAGTCTACTTCTCATATAATTCAAATTTGACGTGCAATCAATGGCTGAACTTAGAATCTATGCCACTTTAACACTTTATATTTTACAACAATCAACTCGTCGAGAAGTGTCATTGGTTTTATAAAACTTGAAATGAAATAATAAAACATTGGTGTTACATAAAACGATCTACTTTCTTTTGGTTTACAAACTCACAATTTCCGTCTTAAGCCCAAACTAAGAGATTTAGCTACTCATAACGGAAAGGAAATTGCAAGAAATATAAATTGCAGTAGATAAATACATAATATTTAAATAACGAAAAGTAAATGGCGGAATATAAAGAAAGAAAACATAATAAATAAATAAAAGTAACAATTCGTAAAATGAAAGACAATTAAAAGTAAACCTGGAAGAGAGGAGAAAATTCAACTAAAAATTACTTGAATTACTAATTAAAAACTTCTTTTTTTAAAACACTAACCCAATCCCTCTATTTATACTACGACAGAGATGAGGGTATAAAAGTAATTAACCACCAAACTTTTTTTTTGTAAGGGTGTCCGGGCCAAAGCCCGACTAATCCCCGGCAAATTTGGAGGCTAAACATGGCCTCACTTAAATGTCGCCAACACTTCCCTCCCATGGCTTGAACTCGGGTTCATGACTATGCCATGCCCAAGCCTTTACCAATATGTTTAGACAACTAATATTTAGCTATTAAAATAAATACGAAAAAACAAAAGAGCCTTCAAAAACCATCCAATTCCTGTCAACTAACCCAACATCTGCCAGACTCAGTCTAGCAACTTACCAAGAAGGCCCGTCCTAATTCTCCCCCTCTCTTTTGTAGGTGAGTTTATGATGAAGAGAATGTCTTGAGGATCATTCATTTTATAGAATGTTCACAAAATATTAATTCTTCCTGTATATAATACAGAAGAAGAAAATACTGATGATTATGACATCAATTAAGAATTTCTTTAAAATAAAGAAATTATTAATCCTCTTAAGAGGAAAGTTTTGATCCTTACAATCAAAGTCCTCGAAGGACAAATTTGTTCAGTCAAAAAACTTTTATAGCTTGTTCCCATTTTCCGGCTCTTGCTGTAGCAATTCAGCAACATGAAATACAAACTACGATTATGTCCAAAAAGTCCACATCAATATATGATATAGTGAAAAATAGATGAATCATTTACTCTACCTCCATAAAAAAATGAAAAATAAGAAAATAAAAATGATTCAATGTTGTGATATAAATAGAAAATAGTGTTTAAGCACTAAATAATTAGTGTGTATCACAGATCTTAAAAATGTAACACAAAGCTTAAAGCTATGAAATGTTATATCCAATATGTGTATCACTCCTACCCCATGCAGTGGCGGTGATGCTGTGAGTTTGATCATTCTAATCATACATTTGCAGTTAATATTTTCAGAAATAACATTGTAGGGTCTGATTTTAATACCCTGACCGATCCTAGAGCCCAGTATTAAAAGACAAAATTGAACTGAACTTGAAATAAGATTCAAACATGTGACCTGTTGCATATGGAGTGATAAATACAGCCTTCACACACATGTTAATTTACTTTTAGTTATAAATTTGGTTCCAAAGTATTTAAGAGCACCCTTTTATAATCAAACGAGTGCATCTTTCAGAAACAGGAATCACAGGTTAAACCTTCGATTTAAGGAACCATGATCGAGTCGTTGGTTAAACCGTGTCTAAAACCGATGAGTCGTGTTTTGGTATGAGACGAAACATATCTGAAACTTGGTAATGGAGCTTAATAGAAGGTTTGAGAAAATAAGGGTAGAACATCGTAGTTACATTTTAGCCCGTGTTTTACAAAGACTTGACAAGAAATGTAAAAATAAATAAAAGTTGCAAAATTACCATTTTACCCCTAGCACTCAAGAGAGAAAGTGGATGGTTGTGAGTGTGAGAGACGAAAAATAAAACAAATTACATAGGTGAAGATTCATTAGGTGATAAATGAAGATAAAAAGACCAGATTCGTAATAAATCACAAATCTCAATACCAAATACGTAATTTAGGGGTTGTTTGATGATTTTTCATCAAGTCCTGTATGAATAACGTTGTATGTATATATATATATATATATATTGAGAATTTTTTTTGTTTGCGATGGTTTTTTCATAGATGGAATAAACGTGGTTTTTAATTGGAAGAGATATGTTTGGAAGAAAATGATTTTCGGTGTAAAACTTTTCTCTATAAGCTTATTGAATAAGCCACTTACCAAACATACATGTATAACTGACCGAATGAATTGTAAGTCTCGTTAAGCTGTTAAGAAACAACCCTCTCTCTCCATTTTTTTTTCAAAATCTACCTATTATCGTGAATTTATTACGTGAATTCCAATTTTGTCAAAGAAAATACAATAAATGTGATTAGGCATGGAAACGAGACATGTCTTGTTGATCCTCTCTCTCAGTGATTTGATGATAATCTCTTTTTCCTTACGATGTATTTTTTGTGTTTCTGTACTTTCGGTTCCAGCGATCAT